GACTACAATCGACCGATTTACTATTCCCATTTGGAAATAATATATCAGAACTGCATATTCTGAGATTGTCATGGTCGCAGCTACCATGAAATGGCCTTAGGCGCTATTTGGAATATTTGAAATTTACCGGGAGCACTGGTAAATTTTTGATTATTCAATTTCTCAAAAGCAGAAGTATTTTAGGGGCTAAATTTTCTAGTGCTTATAATACATCTACAGGGGCATCCAAATATATCAAAATTTTAAAGAATTACTATCCATCCAATTTTCAACGTTTCCCAAAACTTTGCATTACTTTTAAAGTGCGTCTGAAGTTCTGGGAAAGGTTGCAAGACCTTACTGTTTAATGTGTCTCAATAACCACACACACAAAAATGATTCAACAAGATTAAAATCTAAAGATTTAAGATGACGAAAATCAGAACACTGGGGACATAACATATTCAGATGTGTACCATTGTGGAATGGGAGGGGAAAAAAAAAAAAAAAAACGTTGTAGTTACTTTACACACTCTCTCTCTCTCTCTCTCTCTCTTTCTCTCGATCAGTCTGTAAAATGGACTTCAATTTTGCATTTGACTATACATGTATCATACAAACTTTTTAAAAAGATTTCTAAAACAAATGAAATATGTTTTCATCCTTTATCAATCTTTTACATTTTAACTTGTACCTAATTCCTGATCAAAAAAATCATGCACTTCTTTTCAGTAATTATAATTGAAACATTGATTAAAAATATATTCACAGTTTTAAAACTGATTATCTAATACTCCAAGGGGGCATGGCTGCAATGATCTTTAATCATCACAATTGTTTTAAGAAAGGAGTGATTCCCCCAAAATATATTTCTAATATTCTTTTAAATTATGAAAATTATTAGACAACGGGCGCCTTCATGTTTCACATTTATAAAGATACAAACAATCTTATAATCTTTACATTTTCAATGCCAGAACAAGTATTTCATAGCTCTCTTTTGATAAAGGGATAATACTCTTTTCAACCTGAAATCAAAAATATTGCTGATAGAGCTTTTAGTGGAAAAATAGGAAATTGAATCAATATAAAGTTGCAACGTTGATTACATCTTTAACAGATGTCCTTGCACATGTTTGTCATGAATTCAGTTTCCATGGCCTTGTCGACTGATTAAAAATGTCTGTTTACTGCTCACTTCACTTTCTTACAAGTTGGATGTAAATTGATTTTTAAACTAGTAAAACTATTTGTGTACTATATTACGTAAAGGGAAACTTCCATGTTCATCTACAACATTGGAAACCAATAGTGTAATTTTAAAGGTCGTACTTGAGTCCATTTGCCTTCATCCATTTCTGTTCACATTTGTGATTCTGACTTATAAACTAAATGGAAGTTAAAACGCCTATGAATGTATTTCTGTTATTTCCTTGTTAAAATTAGGAAGCAATAAAAGTTATAAATAACTATTTGAGTTCATACGCCATATCATATAAAGAGACTTTATAAGAAAGAAGACTTTCTATTAATGATGACCAAAACTATACATGTATTTACATAAATTTGATATGTAAATTTTTAGCCCAGTTAGGATAGGTTATAATAAGAATGATTTGACCGCAAACTATCATTTAAACATCTGTTTTGGTTAAGTTAACTATTCAAATCAAATGTAAATTAAATGCCACAGCTGATCAGATTTAGAGCAAGCATGCTAAGGTACAAAAATTATAATAAATACATAAAAATAGCTGTATCAGAACGAACAAGCAAGCTACACCTGTAGACATCAGACTAGTACATGATATATACAAGCGTTGAAAAAGATTCAAATGGATTAGAACAAATGACACTTACAAGTCATGGCAGAGATTCCTTTCCACTGAGAGCATTTTCCAAGTATTGCACTTCAAAGAAACTGTTGCGAACTGTTCCAGGACAAAATTTCAACTGAGAACTATCCTGGGTCCTACAAGTGATGCCGGCCAAAACTCTGTGCCCCATGCCGGCTTGGGCATGTCATTTATGCCGAGCTAATGGACAAGAATTCACACAAGTAATTCCCGGCAATTTCCATGCTGTATACTACATCAGGAAATACCTCGATTAGCGTTTCACTTAGCTCATTTGTACATGACACAACCCTCAATGTAGTCTGAAATGTCATTTACTCTTATCCCTATTGTATGGTATTTGGTCAGGCTGGAATTACTTTTCGGAATCTTTATTCAGCAATGATGTCATGTATCATGGCGTTCTAATGTTTATAAACTGTATTAGCCGTTGGTGGTATACAGAATACTTTGAAGAATTTCATGATGTGTGAGTTTGGTTAAGGGTTCTATCGGACACAAGCTATAGAGACATTGCTCCACGGTCAATATCCTACACTTACAATATTCCTTACTCGACCAAATACAATTATACCTCCCCCTAAACCTGAATCTCACCTAAAATCCATTTTGCAAGCCTCATCCAATAACCCTATATCTTTGAGAGAGAAAAAGCCCAGAGAAACTGTCCCAAGAGAAAAGGATTGGTCATTTGGTCTTCACATTACAGTGATATATTTAGGAGAATTTGTTTTCAAAAATATTACTGTTCTTGACATTTACAGGTAATTGTAAGATTCATAGCCTTTTGAGACTGACAACCAACATGACCCACACTCCTCACTTGCGAACTTTCTGACAACTTTTTTGAGGATTCACAAAAGACAATATTGTTTAATAGTCCAGGGCCTATCAGTCTAGTATTAAAGAAATCAGTATAATGGGCTGACGTCGGTCAACTGGATGCCCTCATTCTAAGCTAGTTGTCTTTCACAGAGAGCGATCATAAAAGACATTACTTGGAAGGCTCCAGGGTTGGCTGCAGTCAAGGCAAAGGTTAATTACAAATTAATCTGAATTCAATAAGACTAATTAAATCCCAAAATGGGGTGATATCAAAAGAGAGGGGAGGGGTCAAGGGAGTGAGAGAGACCTGGGAAGAAAGGCATAGAAACCAAAAGATAGACAGAGAGAGACACTTCTAATGTACACATATGTAGAACAAATTTTTAAAAATTCCCTCATCACTTCAACTCCATAATGATATCAAAATTAAAACCAAACTTTCCCTTCTGGGCAATTAAAGTTCACAGCACTAGCACAAATATACATTTTAGAATTTTTAGAATTTTGCATTTTTCTTCTTCAAAAGAACAAAATCATAAAATTATAAGAAAGCCCAAACAAAACAGGTATGGGTCCATCACCCCTTTCAACCTATGGGGCTAGTATGCAAGTAGGCAAGTAAATTAATGCAGCAAACAGCAGCCAATAACCCCTTCCAAAATTCTTAAATAAAGACCCCAGATTTATAAAAACAAAACATCCAGGTCTCACGTATCAATGAATGCTGAATGTATAAAGACCGCAGCTGGGAAGGACATTCACGTATACACTGCAAAATGGCCTTCCCTTCAAAGAGACATTAACAAATTGATTTTATCATTGATGTAACGTAGGAAGTAGATAATAATTTAATAAATCGTTGATAGCTTTACCAATGTCCTCAATATGAAGAAAAATATACGGTAAGGTAGCTGAGACAAGGTTGTCATTATATTAATGAGCCTCTTGTCAAATTATCTGCTCAGTAATCAGCTTAAAATATTAATTGAGGATGTATCTTATGTAATCTTCAATAACTCATCTTGGACTAGCATTGTCACTGAACATCTCTATACTTTCTGCTCTTTAGGAATTAAGCATGCGATATGGTGTTATCGAAACATGTTAATGAGATGGTACATCAATTATTTCATTATGGCACATTTATGATTATTTTTCAAGCAATTATTATGCAAATACATGTATCTCAGGCAATTAGAATCAACATATATCACTCTCTTAATGTTCCCTTAATTAACTAAAGTGAAACTTCATAATCAGAGTATTCAGGTTTTTTCTCAAATTTATCTTTTGAAAATGTCTCAAATGCATCAACAAAGTTTCATGACGAATAAATATAAAATGCATCCTTGATGGCATCTGTGAACAATGTATATATTTAAAATGTGTTTCTTTATTATTTTGGAGGATCTACATAAAAAGAACAATATGGTATGTTCTTCCATCTAAAACGACTTGGTTATTTTTAAAATTAAAAAAAAATATCACAAAATATTTTCTTTAGTTTAAAAAAATTGAAATCCACTTTGTTGAGTACAGGTGAATCCACTTGCATTGAATATATACAGCTCCAATCATGCCTAAAGTTGTACATTCAGTAGGCCATTATCGTAATGTAATCAAATTTAATACATAAGACTTTGTAAAGTCCCTCAATACAAATTATTTCATTCACCTGATAAGAATAATAGTATTTCAATAGACAGAATGCATATATCAAGTGTTGCTAGGTAGGGCAAGCCATAATGTGTGTCCAACCTGGCAACAACTAATGTATGCAGTTCGGATTCTGTCTATCAAAATACTATTATTCTTATCGGGTGAATGAAATAGTTTGTGTAGAGGCACTTCACAAAGACTTGTGCATTAAATTTGGTTACAATACGAAAATAGCACATTGTTCATCAATTGGACTAATAGGCCATTTTCGTAATGTAACCAAATTTAATGCATAAGTATTTGTGAAGTGCCTCAATACATATTATTTCATTCACCTGATAAGAATAATAGTATTTCAATAGAAAGAATCTGTACTGCATAAATTAATTGTTGCCAGGTAGGACAAACTTTATAGCTTGACCTACCTAGCAACACCTAATATATATAGTTTGCATTCTGACTATTGAAATACTATTATTATTATCAGGTGAATAAAATAATTTGTATTGAGGCACTTCACAAAGACTTCACAAAAATCGCCTATTGAACTTGTGTTCATCAAGTCCATCAATTGGACTAATTGAAATTTCAGATGTACTTTTGATGTGCTTGACTACACATGCTCTCAGGTAAAATCACAGATGGGTTAATACAGAATATTAAATGGTTGCATTCCGTTACCTTTCTCTACGTGCAGCACGGGACGCCTCCAACGCTTCTATAAAATCCTGCGTTTCCGTGGAGATGTTAGAATCCCTACGATCTTTCCGACTGGTGATCGGCAACGCAACGTGCATTCCAGGAGGAAGTTGCCGTAGGACGGTCGATATTGGTGTTGCGGGGATTATGGGGGAAGAGGAAAACGTGCAGGGAGAGAATTAGTAACATCTAACAAGACAAGTTGGATGGAGGCATTGCCAAGTTAAGGATTCTCTATAGGCATACAGATTAAAGATGCCATGAGGAATTCTGAGTCGGCAGCGTTAAGGTTAGACATTCTCCTTGTCAAGATAATCTGTAGGTCATCGAACCTTAAGATATGCCAAGGAAATTGAGTAGGACTTTCTCATGACATCTCCAATGAACTGATAAAGTTGTTGCTAGACTGCTTAATTATCTTGACGACCAAAGAGAAAGTTCATCAGCACTTTACAGTCTGACCTTTATATCTTCTTTTTTCCAAATTAGTTGATACATTTGAAGAAAAATAAACTCAACTGGGCTACAACTTAAATTTCTGTAAGTTGTAGCAATTTTCTTTTCGTTTCAAAGTTTTGATGGATTTTTTAAAAATTGATATATTTAAAACATGTTAGCTCAGTGATAATTTGGTTCTGAAAGACATTTTATTTTTGTATGATTTTGACTTTTTTATGCAATTAAAAATATTTCATTTAAATACAAAATTCAGAATTGATCAAATTTTTCTCTATTTGATGAATCAAAATTTTAAATAAATTTATTTATAACCTTAGTTTGATTGTAAACATGCTTGTTAGTTCCTACGACAATATACCTATGAAGTCAGTAGAGTGTAATTTGTTCTAAGAACATTGGGATAATTGCTAATCTATTCCGACATATCAGTTAATATAAATGTGACACATAAGAGATTTCATTCAAGTATTTGATTATGAGCACTTGTAATATTTACACATTTCACATATTCACAAATTTCACAATGTTAGATGAGTGTAATATACATACATTCAATTAAATATATATGCAGCAATGCAGTCTTTACACTTAAATCCTAATAAATAGGAGCTAAGAAAATACATGTACAGTGTACTGTACATGAGTGAAGATAGAATGGATGCTAATCTTCCTCACACATGCCTATTAGCAAATAAATACATTCAAATTTACTTCTAATTTGTACACTAAGTGCATTGATTATTAATCAGAAGTTTCAGAACTAACAAAAACAAAAAAATCAACAAACCTGTACATATTTTCACTGGTCTGTTAAATTGAGTGTAGATCTAGTAGTGTTTGTTTAGACTTAGCTAACCAGACTGTAGCTTGAGAGGGCAGTATACAGAGTCAGTATACATTGGGATCAACTCAGAGAGTGACTGGACTGATATGCTTCCACAGTATAACTCCCTTCTTGAATATTAAAAAGTAAGTACGACTTTTTCTTCAGGCTAGTCAGGTCTCTGTTTATTCCACTAATTCTTCTCACTAAGGTTATATTCATGTTTTTAAAAATATTCAATTTAATCATTTGTGTCAAAAAGTTGTCAATGAAATTGTGAATGTATACATGGTACATTGCAGAATCCAGAACAAGTTGGTTGAAAGGGTCATGATATATTTGAACTCTCTTCTGATGACAGAGCTCATTAATAATAATCAATAATTACTATTTAACGATGATATGTGGTTGTGTAATGTGTTTTTGACATGCCCTTGTAACAAGTACGTGGGCATGAATAGTGAATGTGATGTAACTGAGGGGTACCTTACAACAGAGTAAATACATCAAATGTAATTGGATAAATTTCACCTGCGGTTCATTAGCGCTAATTAATAAGACTGATAGACATGTGTGTATTAAGTTTGACATTTGGATCTGGTGTTCACCTAGGGATAATATATCTCTTGCATAATACTACAAGAATGTGAAAGGTAAGGGGCGACCTTGCCAATGACCTACATTGTACTTGTCCATGCAGTGAACAACTAAATCATTAATCAGTCCATACCATTACCAAGGTTTTTATTTTTTAAAGTATATTTCTGATGTTCTTTGCATTACATTTATAAGTATTCAACAAAGGCCCTAATTCAACTAGTCCGCCTTTCATTAGTGTGTTATGGAAACAGAAAGAAAAAAAGGAACATCAAATTTACAAGGGGTATGAATAATTTAGGTGTTAACTGTACATGTACACAAAATAAAATGTACACTGTAGCCGTGACCAATATTATACTTATTGAAATATAAAATATTTGTTTGTTTTTATGTTTGTATGTTTGTTTGTTTTTTAATTTTAATCAATAACAAATAGGCCTGACCAAAAGATAGCAAAATACCTAATGGTTCTTACATATATTTTAGCAATATAGGCAAATATAGGGAATAATAGACAGAGAAGAAAAAAATAGGTGATAATATAGAGGAAGAAAAAAAGTAGGGTCAAGAAAAATGAAAATGAAAATTGAAAAAAGCAATCAAAAATATACAAAAGAATAAGATGAGCTAGAATATGACTTAGGAAAAAGACAATAGGAGATAGGATTAAAGATTAAGCCAGGATTTACAAGAGAAAGGGTGATACTGAATGTATTGCGGAGCCAAGAATATGAATATGGAAATAGAATGAGAATGAAACCTTCTTTTCTCTATCCATCTATTCATAAAAGCTTTTTGCCCTTGGCGACAATCCTGCTTTTTAGTATTGGAAGCCTGTATGCCAAATTCTTTACATTAAATGTAATGACATTATTGAATATACAGGCATTTAACCTATTGGGAAATTAATTTCTATCTCTTATGAAGGGACGACTTTGTACTTTCTAGCAAGCATATGACTCAGCTGAGCCAAGTCATATCTTTTTATTTTATAGAGGCAAATATTACTTTTTTTTGTGGGGGGGGGGGGGGCCTACAGGCATGTCATTATAATCATGCCCAAGACCTGCACGTAGTCCCTACATAGGAAAACTGTACATACCCATAAGGATAATTTGTTGGTCACACTTTGGAGGTTTGAAGAAAGTGGGATGGGTCTTTCCAACACAGATCTCGGATCTTAGAGATTTGGAATGTGAGAAAAACAACAAGTCAATCTCTCAGACGCAGTATTGATCCGGTAAGCGCTAAAATCCTCGCATCTTGGGGGTTATAAATATCTCTCAGAGAGGACATCCTTTAACCGTCTATGAGTCAGAGTCTATTCCAAATAATACCTTCCCAAAAATTGCCTTCCCAAAAATTGCCTCCCAACATATATGAAGAAACTGACATTTAATTCCCTGCAGTATTTTCCTGCTCTAAATGGACTTCCTTTCTGGAAATCTTTGTAAATTAATTGACATGAATGGCTTTAGTAGAACTGACTGATAGAGGATGCAAATTCATGTTACTTTTATTGAAGATAACGCATCTGGCACCGGGGATTGCATCTTAATTTTGGAGGAATTTCAGGATTTTGATGATGTTATAATGTCAAGAGAGATGACACACACTCTCCTAGACTAAAATTTGCTTCATGAATACAGTTTACTTTATTTTGTAGAATGTCATGCAGATTCTATTATCGAGATAGTTTAATACTGAATAACCGGCACGAAGGAAAGCTGAAAAGCATTAATCCATCCTCTTTAAATTCATAGGGTTTATCTATTTTTTATGTCTCATCATATCAGGTAGAAGAAGTAAATGAAAGTCTCATCAAATCTGTTCCTATATATTCAAAGGAAAGAATAACTGAGGCTACATACATTTAGTACCATAGATGGAAAGTGATGAATTTTTTTGGAGAAATTCAGTATTTGGGATACCGGTATGGCTTGTATAAATCGTGCACTGTTCCAATGATTTTGTGGACAGTTACCATCAGAAGATAACATTATAGTTAGAAAGGTCAAATATGCTTGAAAAATATGCTTGAAAATATGCTTAACAAATATGCTTGAAAAAGAAGGATGAGATAAGAAAGTATAAACTTAAATCAGAAATAGGATAATAAAAGAAGTTAACTTAAGTGTGAGGAAGAGGAGAGTAACAAAAATGAAAAGAGGTGGCAGGTATACAGACATGATATATGAGGTTCACTGGCTGTATGAATGATCACCTTTATGTATAGGCCATACATACATTATTCATCTCAATGTATTCCGGCTGTCTTAAGATTAATTAGTGTGCATGGCCCGATTGACATTTATCAAAGGAGAGGTAACGGTGTCATGTGACTATGTTGGGGTCAGGATAGGGTGGCTATGTTGGAATATACATGTATATACATCCATGGATAGTAGGTCCATGGTACATCCATGTTGGATCTATCTATCTATCTTTCTATCAATGTATCTTCTCCCAGCTCGGGTTGATTGCAATCATTTTCCACACATCTCTGTTTTCTGCCACACTTGTACTCTTGCAGTGCCATTCCACTACATGTCTTGATGTTTCCCTCCCAGTCAATTCTTGGTTTCCCTCTTGGTCTGGTATGTTCTACTTTTCCTATTTTCTATGTATGGATCATGTTCCACTTCATTTTTATATAAGTTTGGATTAATGTAAATGTCATATTTATACACATCTATTTTCAGTCATTTTTAGAGGCATTCTGTGAGTATTTTGATGTTGTTTTTTTTCTCTTCAGTGCAGTCCAAAAGGAAGCCTGATATCAATTTTTGTGTCATTTTACAAAAGGGTAGAATAAAGAAGAATCATGAGATTTAAAAAAAATGATAATCTAGTGATCTTTCCTAAAATCCTTTCCTATATCAGGTCTTAACATCGTACAATACCAATATGTCAGCACATTTCATACCTATTCCAAATAAACAGTTTTGTTATGGGCATATAAACTGGAGCTATACTATCATGTAGTGTCATATATTTGGCTATAGTAACACTTAAACCTTGCACTGGGTAGTCTTAAAACTGGGGTTCTATCTGCATCTTAATTAAAATATAGACAAAATAGAACTAGAGTACAAGCTGTTAATCTATCCATATAAAGTAATGATCTTAAAAGTAAAACTCTACATCAATTAGGTAGTCTGGATAATGTTTAACCAGAACTACTTCTTGCAATATCACTCACCTTAATCTTGGGGTTGTTGCTGGTGAATTATCCTGAGAGGTATTTCCATTAGTATGTATCGATTCCACTTCACCGGTAATACTGGATAGAGATTCCCTGCTTGGGTGTCTCCTTGACAACGGGACAGCATCCAAATTAGAACTCCTATCACTGGCATTGGACAGTTTTCTCCCTCTTTCAGAAGTTGGAGAGGTTTCCTCCTTTTGGGTGGAGTATCTTCTCCTCGAGGGCGTTTCACCCTCGCTGGACGAAGGACCAAGACCGTATTTTTCCGCTAATTCCCGCCTGCGTTGCTCCTTGTATCGTGCGATGCGAGCGGCCCGAGATTCCGAGTCCTCCGACTCTGATCCACTGTGGAGTGCTCTAGCTAGGCTATCACTTACAGATGTCGGAGGGGTCGCTATGGCCCGTGCCCCATATGAGCTTGTTCTGGAAGCAGCATCACCATTACTTGTTGAAAGTGGCCGATTGACAAGGTATTTATCCCGTATAGCATTCACTGGGTTTGAGTCTCCCGATGTTGATCCGATATAATTTCCACGCCTGATCTTATCCTTGTCCAAACTCCCGTACCCGCTCTCCGTGCTCCCGCGCTTTAAATCTCCCGGTATTTTTACCCGATCATCTTGGAAACCGCGATGCCTACCTGGGGCATGAGCATCCGATGTAGCTCCAGTGCGTATATGAGACATTGTTGGGTGATGATGTGATGAAGGCTTGGTATCTTGCGTTCCGCCGCTGCCCGTTGGATAGCCTCCAAAGCTATCCGATCTACCAGCAGAGGTGAAATCACCCGATGACCTGTGAGGATGCTGTGACCCGCTTGCCGAGCGATCTTGGTTGTACCTGCTCGGCCTGTTGCTTGCGTTGGAATCTAGACTTTTAAGGGAGCGACTCTGAGAGTTTGCATAGGCTGTGCGGCGGTCGACGGATGAGTCAAACGAGAGAGGTCTTTCGCTGCCGTACTTCTCTTGCAGCTTGGTTACTGTGGGGAAGATAAATGACACATATCAAGTTTATGACACATCACATGGTTATTTCATTACACTGTCTGCACATACACAAACTGACACACACACACACACATCCTCTTCCCATTTACTTCTCTCTCTCTCTCTCTCTCTTCCTCTCTCTCTCTCTCTTCCCCTCTCTCTCTCTTCCCCTCTCTCTCTCTCTCTCTCTCTTCCTCCGCCTCTCCATCTCTCTCTTCCTTTCTCTCTCTCTCTTCCTATCTCTCTTCCTCTCTCTCCCTTTCTCCCTCTCTTCCCCTCTCTCTTTTTCTCTTCCTTTCTCTCTTCCTCCCCCTCTCCATCTCTCTATATTCCTTTCTCTCTCCCTTCCTTTCTCTCTCTCTCTCTCTCTTCCTTTCTCTCTCTATCTTCCTTTCTCTCTTCCCCTCTCTCTTCCCCCTCTCTCTCTTTCTCTCTTCATCACTCTCTCTCTCTTCCTCCCCTCCCTCTCTCTTCCTTCCTTTCTTTCTCCTTTCCTTTCTCTCTCTCTCTCTTCCTTTCTCTCTCTCTTCCCTTCTCTCTCTTCTTTTCTCTCTCTTCCTTTCTCTCTCTCTTCCCCTCTCTCTCTCTTTCTCTCTCTCTCTTCCTCCCAGTTCAGCTTTCTAGTTTAATCTCTCCTGCATATATCATTCCACCCGCTGTCCTCTTTTAAAGTTATATTTTTCATCTGTCTTTCTTCTTCTAGCTCCTCCCCCTCATTATTTCTTGCTTCATGTTTTTCTTTGTCTCTATCCCTCTCCTTTTTGCTTTGCCTCTCTTCATGTTTCCTGTCTATACTCTTCCATCTCAATCTCTCATACCCCCCCCCCACACACACACACACACACACACTCTCTCTCTCTCTCCCCCCCTCTCTCTCTCTCTCTCTCTCTCTCCCTCTCCCTCTTTATCCCTGTCTCTCCTGCTCTTTCTCCCCTATTTATACTCACATCATTTTTCAGCTTTCATCTCTACACTCCATTCAATCAACACCTTCCAATATCTCATCCCTCCAAATACATCTTACTGTCTATGTCTTATCTGCACTTTTACTATTACTACTTCAACAAACATCTATTTGCTTTTCATTATGCTTCTACATTACTTTGAACCATTCATCAATCTATATTTAAACCCATATGTGTTTACCTTCTCCGATGAGTTCACTGTACGACTCTCATTCAAAACAAAACTAAAAAATCAAGGAAACAACCTGTTTTTGCCCTTGTTGAATGGAAGTTGATAAAAGCCAACTAGTACATTATAGAACTCATATCAATCATCTGTAATTTTTGTAACAGCATTGAATCTACAAAGAGAAGGACACTTTCTGCTACCATTGTTTCTATAGCAAAAACAATATTTTTCTGCATATCACAATACAAGCAAGGCCTACTGCTTCCCATGATTTTTTGATTTTTTGTGCTCTGTAAAGAATTGTTTTTTTCTTATAGAAGTGTATATGGCATTTTAGTAATGATCTCAATGACTGAAAAGTGCTTCCAATCTGTCCAATTTGAATACTGACCCCATCTGAACATCTTAATTGTCTTATTAAGAACAACAGACCATTATTAAGTCTTGATCTGTCTCCATTTACTGTAATCAGACATGACACCTACTAAAAATCATTAAACCTGAAATTAATTTTTTTTTCTCACCCTGTTGGACACAGGTTAATTTTCATTTCCATGCTTATCTTCAAGGACTGACTAGATGTTTTCTTCTGCCTAGCAATCAACGGATTAAAAACTTCCCATCCCCATCTGACCGAGACGCATCTGACACTCTCCCTTCCTCCTCGTCCCGAAAACCTAATTTTAGCCCGGCATGCAGCGAGCGAGCAAGGGGTCGATGGTTTCCTTGGCCCATGATTAAGATGCCTCCGACTTCTCAAAGTGTGTTCTGGATTAGCGATTTAAATTGAGATTAGGATCCACTTCCTTGAAGCCTTGGTAAAGATGGCTGCTCAGCTCAGGAAGGGTGGAACCCCCTTCTCAACAAGGTCACTGATTTATAACATTCATCAACACTGTCTGCGTTCAGACAGGGTTTGAACTATGTTTCCACCTCCACAAAAAGCACTGCTACATCAACCTACATGTACAGGTCACTGATTTATAACATTCATCAACACTGTCTGCGTTCAGACGAGGCTGAACTATGTTTCCACCTCCATAAATGGCACTGGTACATATCCCCCATGTCAACCTATGTGTACAGGTCACTGATTTATAACATTCATCAAGACTGTGTGCGTTCAGACAGGGTTAAACCAGGGAGGTGAGACTTTAACTCACATGCCCTGGTTAAACTACGTTTCCACATCCACAAACAGCACTGGTACATATCCCCCATGACAATTAACCGACATGTTTATGTTTGATAAGTATAATGACAAGGGCAGTATTTCTCATTTCAAAATGGCATCTGACCATATTAAGTTAACAGTATACCACCCACTTGAACTTCATGCAGGGTTTATGAACAAAATAAGTCTAACACCCCCCCCCCCCCCCACCCACCAAGTAGTAATTCATTTGGATATAGCAAGAACATGATAGAAATAGAAATTCCTGAATTCTAACAAACATGCATATCTTGCGCAGCTAGGGTTCTAAACTAAGTTTTCACAGGGTGCCCATTAAGAATGTTTTTAAAGTTTTTACCCACAATTTCAGTATATTCATCATGTTAGTTCATCCTTAAATCTGGAGTTCATAGTTTCCTGGCTCTGGAAATTTATTGCCAACCTACACTACATGTACGTTTCGCAAAGATCACATCCTGGTCCAAAACCTATAACAATCTGTGGGTCCACCAGGACCAGTGAATCACTAATGGGGGTGGCACGCTGTAGAAAATCTGGGGATACCATTTTTTTCTACTACCTTCTAGCAAATGTGAAAATCTAGGGGCCCTTTTTTCCCCATAGCTTGGCTAATTTGTCAGTAAATTCGGCCCGGCAACTCCATGCACCCCAACACTAAAATTTAGGGGCCCTTTTTTTTTACCTCAGCTTTGCTAATTTGTCAGTAAATTGAAACACTATGCACCCCCCCCCCCCCCCCCCCCACCACCACCCCCTTTTCAAGATGGCCTTGCAATGCCCCTGCTTAGGACACAGGATCTGTGAGGGTAAAGGCAACAGGAAGTCAGCTCTGACACTGACACTGACCCACGCCTTGGACTTGAAATTTACTGGACTCATGGAAAAACAGGAATGTATAAACAGGAAGGCCGTCAATTGCCACTCCCATTCTATGAGAAAAAGTTAACATGACGTACTAAAATAAAGAACCAAACAAAAACTTGATTATTTCAAAAAAAATTCCTGTAGTTCTAAATAGATGTTCGCTGACAGAGCAGTGCCTACAATAAGTGCCTAACCTGCTGCATTCCATATGCCCTCAGTCAGGTAGCACATCAGATGATTCAAATTGATCTGTTAAAGTTTGAATTATAGCATTTCAAAATCTGCCGAGTTATCTATCCATATTTAAAATAAAACTAATAGTCAAGTAATCCATAATATGCTCTATAAACTGGTTGCATCCCATATGGCCCAGTAAGCACAACAGATGACACAATATTTATCTGTCAAAAATTACCTAGCATTCCAAAATCTGCTGAGTTATCCATCCATATTTAAAATAAGACTAATAGTCAAGCAATCCTCACTTCATAATATGCTCTAACCTTGTTGCATCTGATATGGCCCAGTATAAGCACAACAGATGACACAATATTTATCTGTCAAAAATTACCTAGCATTCCAAAATCTGCTGAGTTATCTATCCATATTTTGCCAACAAAATTTTAAAAAGTCAATGCTAACTTCATGATATGCTCTATATGGTTGCATCCCATATGGCCCAGTATAAGCACAACATATGACACAATGTTTAGCTGTCAAAAAGTACCGGTAACTAGCATTCCAAAATCTGCTGAGTTAACTAATCACATTTTCTTGGTAAAGTGTGTGGTAATTTGCTCATTGCAACATTTCCCCTGGTGAAAAGTATGACATTTATGAAATTCAGACTTTTAAAACTTAATAGGCTAAGTAGGATATGTCAGATTTAGACTTAAAGTAGGTCAAATTTCTGTCAAAAATTGTTGGAGTGAACACTAACTTGGTGCTCACTGTGGAATGATGACCTGAATATTTTCATATAAGGAAGGGGTAAACAAATGGGACGCTCTGATAGAATTGTCAGGTACATGTAATGAAAGCTAGATCGTTTATATTCAAACAGCGCAACAGTAAAATGAATTAAGCACTAGTTCGCTGGTGACTAGAGGGGCATCATTTGTGTGAACAATCCTAGGATTCTGACCTAACCCACTTAACAAAATGTGCACTTTTTGAACCAAGACAATGGACCTCCATTTTTCAAGCGATTTAATCGGAGTATGTAGAACCACAGCGAAAGGGGCGTACACATTATTAAAAATATTTTTAAACAAACGTTGTATAAAGAAACTATTTTTAAACAGGGTAATTGACATACCAGCAGGCTAATCATCAACTCGTCCTTGTTTTCACGAAGTGACAGTAGTGAGGAAAATCGTCACGCAAAGTGAATGCAATTTTTTTTTCACTACCGTCACTTCGTGAAAACAGCGACAAACTATCCTATGATACGACATTCAGATGAGAATGGGACCTGTTTATTTATTGAGTTTACATTTGAAACAAAGCTCAAACATGCACCCTCTACACAACGTTTCTTTATACAACATCCATTCAGACTAGGAAAAAAAAGGCAATTACTTATTGTATATATATAAGATTGTTGTATAGCTATACGATGAATTATGATAGTCTAAATGAGGGTTAGAGAGCCCCTTCCTGGCCTCTGGACTAGAATTTGAAGTCAGACTGGTATCCCAAACATATCCTCCCATGGCACCTGTTTCTCTTCATCTATTAATAATCCTAATCCAATTTCAAGAAAGGAATTGATATACTTGGAATAGATGTCTACATCTATATTGCTCTCATCATTCGTCATCTTTAGTAACCCACCCACAAACATCCTAATATTTCCTGATCGCTCACAGCGAGAGAAGAAATATCTTTAAAATGGGTTCTGCATGAAATAAACCATACCATCCCAAAAATATTATCTAGAATGTCATCTTATTAAAAGTGATATTTCCTGCTTAAATATCAGATTTTCCAATTTTTTTTTTCCAATAATATTCTCAGAAAGGTCCTTGTTTTTTGCATTGCTCTGCATGCACATTAAACCATTAATTTTCATAGCTTGTCTAAGCAGGTTATAATAATAAAAATATGCATACATCTAACTACATTAAGATGTCCTCAATGTACTCGTTTTACTGCATTTAATTGTTTGAAATCTAACATGGTATTCAAACAAAGTACACACGTAAGATTCGGTCCATTTAAAGTTAAACGTCTCAAGGTAGGTATAGAATATATATATATTTTCTAATTCCAAACATTACAAGGACATGGACAACTTCCTTCATCAAAACTTTACTCCAATCTCTACTCCCCTTTTCTCTCTTTCTCTCTCTTTCTCTCTCTTTCTCTCTCTCTCCCTCTGTCTTCTCTCCCTCTTTCTCTTTCTCTCTCTCTCTCTCTCTCTCTGCCTCCATCTTCCATCCTCTTCTCCTCTCCCCATTTATGTCCCTATATCCCTAGTATTCTCTCTCTTCAGCTCTCACCCTTCCTTTCCCCCGGATCTCTCTCCCTTTTCCATCATTTCCTTCTCTTGCTCCTCTCCCTCTCTCCCCTTCTATCTCTCTCTTTACCTTTTCCTTATCCTGAACCATCATCCCACCTTCACTGCAGCTTCTTTCTCCAACATTAGCTAATCGGACATATACCATACGTTTATCTCTCCCATGAAAATACAATATGAAACCAAAAGCACTTTTGTAAGATTAATAATTGAATTACAGGGCAATAAACTCCTCACCTTTGTTATTCAACATAATTATGCAGAAAATAGAAACTCGGGGACTCTATAAACTTTTACTAAAACAATACAACAGATTCCACAGTGTACTGTACACATTAGAAATTATATCTGGGCTACATATACAATCAATCTATCGCCTCAAAATGAATCATTTCGCCTTCAAGAGGCTTACACCTTTCCAATCAAAAGAAAATTAGATTTCATGTTAAAGGAAGATACAATTCATTGCAAGATGAAAAATAATCACTATAGCAAAAATGGAGATACAACAGATCTTATAAATTTATTAAATTAATATTTGTGTGGCAAAACCTTAATTGCCCAGGTAAATCGAGAAAAATTAAATTCAATCTCACTAAATCTGATGGATAGGAGTTAAATGGGGCATTGTTTGAGGTTTACCTGATCTATCTCCTCTGGTGGACATGTCTGTATCTGGAGTTGTATCCTCAGGATGGACAGGATTAAAGGAGTTAACTCCAGACACCTCTTCTGGGTTTATTGCAGGAGCAGCAAAACTGGAAGTATGAAATAAAGAGAGATTGAAAAGGATTACAAAGCAAACTGTCATAATATATGTATCCAACTCTTTCAGCAGCGCAAAGTATTACGACTTGGTGCATTAACCACAACCCTGAATGCTCTAGAAATAGATTAAGTATCAATTATGAAACTATTACAGCAACATGAGACATGTATAACTAAACAGGAGTATTGCCAAACCATTTTAAACGGTGGATATTTGACCATATTTGCCAAAAAGTTAAATAAAAAAATTTTGGGATGGTCTACAGATATTTCAAATTTATTTGCATACAAGGGTAGAAACCCATCATCAATTCTAAATTACTGATAAAGTTCAGAAAATCCCACATTTGTGGAGTGTGGACGCATGAAATCAGTGTGTCACACCCCTGGATATAAAATAAAAACATGTGATATACTGACATCTACAAATCAAAACTCTCTAATATGTATGAGCCTGAGATTTATGTGAGTTCATGAATAATGTCTCAAAAAGATGGATGGCCGACTGCTAATTTGAGAAACTTGATGACAATGCCTCCCGAGAACATGAGACAGCGTCTTCATATTACTACTCTCAATACTAAGCAGATACAAGTTTTTTTCTCGCAGTCAATGCAGTTTAGAACACAATGTATTAATTTCCATTTTATATAAGGTAATTGGGAAAACCCTACTCGAGAAGTAGTAAAAAACAGCACAGAATTTTTTTTTTTTAAGTTTTCATCTCTATATATATATTTCTTATGTTTATTTTGTTCAAAATTCTTAGCCTAAACAAAATTGTTTTGGTTATGACCATCTTCCATTTTTTTCATAAGAAAATAAAATAAAAATAGTCTGGTTATCTAGGAAATACTATAAAAATATAAAGAAAATAGCAACAACAAAAAATATATATATATTTGCATTTAAAAAATGACCAGAGTCCAAATATGGAATAACTTTTTAATATGAGCGATAGTATATATACACAATGTACGAATCCAATCATGCATTTCAAAGGTCAGATAGCAATTGTCATTTCCCTTCATACCATTACCCTTCTTAAATCCTGGGAGATCATGACTGACATTATTTATAAACAGTGGGTGTGAAAGTGATCAATGTTAATGTGTTAAACCAGGGTGAGACCCACCTGATACCCAAGGCTAAAGAAGCTTAGGGGTTCTAGCAGGGTGGATGCGCAGCGCCTATTCCCGAAAGCGGCTTATAAGGCTAACATACAATAAGTTCAAAACAATTTTTTTTTTTTTTTTTACAGTATTCAGCAATTATGGTCATAAACTAACTGACTAGCCTAAATTAAACAACAATCAAATGGGCAAAGCAAAATGTTTTGAAATTATACAAGATTTGGGGATTAGTATTTATCCCATTGCTATATGGATTCTCATATACGCTGTAATATATAAGGTAGCTTTCATAGCGAAATGTAGTGAAATACGAAAAGACACCTTGAAGCAAAAAGCATGATAGTTGGTGATGTTTATGAATTAAATGTTCTTTTTGTTATATAAATGTATCTGAATGAAAATGTTGGCTATCAGTAAGCCTAGTGGAGAGAGTTTATATTTCCACTAGCTCCATATCCTTATGATGTGGTTCTGTTTCTGTTTGATGAAATTATGATTTTCAATGATTACGCTTTTGTGTCCCGATTGCATCTTTCCGTGCCTCAACATTTTGCTAATTGATAAGCGTTCTACTCTGAAGCAAGTCACAAAACAAATTGCAATATGATTACATATAAAAATTTAGGAATTGAATATTGATATTCCTGATGATCAGATAAAAATAGTCAAATTTAAATTGCAAGGTACTGCGGAGGTAGCTAATGCTAATTGCTATTGGCAGGATGGATGCCTATTCTAGCTAGTCGCTCAAGCCTACTGCACATTGTATGATCCGAATGCCATCCAATTTGAGGATGAATTTCAAAATTAAAATTAATAATTGCTGAGGATCAGATACAGATAGCCAAATTTAGATTGTAAGGTATTGTAAAGGTATAGCTTAAAGATATAACAGGGTGAATGCTCATTCCAGTTATCAGTACATTATAATAACCAACTACGATCCGTTTTTTGATTAAAATTCCATTATCACTAGATATGAAAATTTAAACAAGAAAAATATTTGCAATCAATCCTTATGATCACATGAATAGTAAATGTATATCATGAGGTATGCAGGTCTTCCAGTCAAAGGAAATACCAATTAAGCATCAAATGGGAACAGCTTCATCACTTGTCTGACATCACTTCGAATTGTTTAAAAACCAGACCCTTTTTTTCTATGTGGAACGATATCCGTGCACAGCAAATGAAATTAATATATATTTATGTAGGAACCTGAATATGAAAATATTTCCTTACAAGTTCAAATGTCACTTTCTAATGATACAGCAATTTCTTCCAAATGGGATATGCAATATGGGCTTTGAATAGAATTCATAGATATTTGAAAAGGCCCTAAGATATTTGAAGGGCATCACTGAATCATTTGAGGTATTGAACGAGGAAAAACATACATGGATGTACTTAGAACTTTTTAGTATATTCTTTATACTAATATTTATGGATTTTAATATGTAAATATAATAAGGTTAAACACAATATGTCTGTTAGGAGCCAGAAGGGCATTATATCGTAGACTGTAACACCCTCAACAAATGAAATGTAAATATATGCCTAGAAACCTTTCAGAAACATGTTAAAACGCTTTTATTTACTCAGAGTTACTAATGATATTATGTTGTTAAAATTCTGGAGAGAGATTTGTGTATTTTGTGTATTTGTTTTGGATAGCGCCTTGAGTAAGTTATTAGATAAGTGCACTTTATAACTATTTATTATTATAATTATTATTATTATATATATATACCTCTGCGGTCTATGCTCCTGATAAATCTTGTCAGAATGCGGGAGGCCCTCTCCTGGCAGCGGACTATGTGACAGGGGCGTCGTTTGCCACTTCAGTTCAGAGGGGTCTGGGACCTCAAGATCTACACAGAAGGAAAAAAAAAAGTAGAAAAATAAATCATTGTAAAAATGCTACTCCATCATATAGTACATGTATAACATTGTCAATCAGTGATTTTTATGTTCCAAAGACTCCATAGAAAGTACACACACAAGGCCTCAATTTATCGATAAAAGGAAATAGACAATGGTATCAGTAAAGATAGCAGCACAAGTGACAAAGTCATCATCTTTATTTTTGTCATGCTATATATTTGATGAGTTGAGTAGATTGTTGATTGTTTCAATATGGTACACATAATATGGATCTAATAGTTTTGGGCTCGATGTGAAATATCCTAAACATTTACTAATCTATATCAATTTGTTTTAATGTAACCTTCATACCACTTATCTGCAGACTCAGACTATCGCTACATAAAATACTTTTTAGAAAGGCCTACTATTATCTGAACAAGAGTGCACGGTTTGAACTTTTGTTTTTCACAATAACCATGCACTTTGGTTTCTAGTTTGTTTTGTTTTTGTTTCTTGTTGTTGTTATTTTTTCTTTGTTTTGAAAGTGTAACATATTGATGATGGTTCACCACAAAATATGGAAACATCAATATGAAAACATAATATGTCAAATTTTACTTGCAAAACCTCATTCTTAGAAGTAAGTAAAAGTGAGTGTATTGAACTATAGTATATTCAACATCATTTTCAACATATCTTTACTGATTAATAGATCGAAATTGGCTTGTTGTCAACTTCAATGCATACGGATAAGCATAAGGATACCTTTTTGAACTTGAGCACTTTCAGGTAAACAAATTTTGATAGAGCAGAGAGGGGAAATCTTTACGAGCACCGGGAAATTAAAAGAGGAAGTTTGGATGAAAATAAGTATCAAAACAGGTAATCTACACGCTGATCATCTCATTAAAGGTAAAATGATTATCATATTTTCCCAGTTGCCTTAAACTTTTAATCACATGCTCAGGGATTTTTCTTTTAAACATGGATAATCAATTTAGAATTTCACTTTCTTAAGTTGTAAACTTGTGAAATTGAATAATATTTTTTTTTGATAATGGACTATTCTATCCCAAAACAAATAGGAAATAGAGCTTATGTCAATTTAAAGAAACATAAAATGTGCGGTACATTATTATTTTATATTTTCAAATTGGGATCATTCACATAAAGCAATGCACTACTAGTAGTGCATGGCATTCATTATTATTTCAAATCATGTTTCTACCTTTAAATGTGTTCTCAATAATAAAATGAAAAGGAAAAAATAGCAAAAATATAGTTTCTGATCCACCACAATTCAGGAAATTTGATAAAATTTATTAGGATATCCTTACAAGTCCAGTGTGTGTCATAAAAAATGATTTTATGCCGTATATATTGCTCGGTCATTGCCTCAATGGCTGGTGAAAAAACCCATTTTCAACTACATAACCTAATATGACTGCAATAAAAAAAACCTTAACAGAAAAATACATCTCTCTTTAAACGTATCTCATATCAATTCAAAAAAAGAAACTATGGTACAAATTAAAAGATATTTGACTTTCTACATATTATAGACTTACAGTATGTACATATATATTGAATGCAAAATCTGTATTCCAATCTAAGGAATACAAACCAAGGATAGCAAAGGGTGAGCACAGAACATAATCATATTTGTAGTAGACTGAATCAACTGATAGTTAAGCAAATACACCAAAGTGCACCGTCTTGAAACTTCTTGCTAGAAGCCCCCTCCCCCCCCCCCTTTTACATATTTCTGGAACACCCCCCTGGTAGTCTAGTATTCGCTCAGTGTGATCGTGTTACTGTGGCAACATAATTAACACATTGTCAAATATATTGACACTTCACATCCTCATTACTTCTAAATATAAAGTTATTAAAAGCTCATGAATCTGCCACCTAAGCCAGCCTGGGTGGAGCTGCTACGTTAAATTTACCTCACACAATGACATAAAACATTTTCCTTTTTTCTTGATTATCACAGATTAACCTATTGTTAGTCATTGACCCCTTTCACTAATACGTATAGATGGCAAAGTACAATACAAGCCCTAGTCAGTAATTGTTCACAAGCAAAAAATGTATTTTTGGGATATTTTCATGGTATTTCCTGGAAAATTATGATATTGTACTTCTATTTTCTAATGGACAATTAATGAAAAATAGACAAAAATATGTTTCAAGGCTCAGGATTAGGAATAAAAGATAGGTGAGAAATATATTAATATAAATACATATTTTCTATGCTGTTTTCACAATTTTTTTACTATTTTATTTTGACTAGGGAGGAAAGATTTTAATCCTTTTTATCATATTTACCTGCTGATAGTACTGTTTCACCAGCCTAACTTACACAATAGTAAGTTTTGAGCAATTGATACATTTTTCTATGAAATTTCAGAAAAATTATCAGGGGGAAATACAATTTCCATCTCAAATCCATCTCAAAAGTGCATTAATAGAAAATCAATAGTACATGAAGTTAAGTGCTCATGGAATGAAACCCGCAAACACTCTCTAACTTCTCTTTGATAAACTAGAACTTTCTGTTTCTGGTTAACACCGAGAAACATTAGCCTATACCCTGGAAGCCGGAAGGCGCCGAGTCAACACAGAGAGGGGAACCATCTCATGATAAATGGTATCAAGTAGCGGACGTTCCCCACTCGATGGAGCAGGAGTTACGGCAACAACATAGCCACTGGCCATCTTTATTTTGGTCCGGAAATTTACGATTCGGTCTACAGCTAGGCGGCTAACATAAATAAGAATAACAACCCTCTTGAACACTTGCAATATTTAGTAGGATTGCCGGGCAGAAATCATGCCCCAATTATTTGAAAAGCTATTCTAATATTTTTCATAATTCAATAAGCAGTGCCTTGGGTTAATGTCCACACAATATTGATATAATCGTTTAGAGATATTTATAATTTTATGTTATGAATATAATTCTAAAGGGTTTATGTACACTATGCCGTTGTGTGTCAGAATAAGATCTTATCTAGGCTTAAACAGTACTACACGAACAGAGTAAGATCTGATTAGAAAGCTACTATGCAAGTCAATGGAAAATCAACCATGGTATTGCAATTGATTTGTAGCAATATCTTGCAAAGTCAATAATATCTATATCTCTCCAGTTGGGTTCACACAACAACCCCTAAACTTAACTTCAGGAATAGTTTTAATCTTTAAAGTTATCTTCTAGTCATGGCCCTGCATGGATGCACACTGGTGGTTAAAGTTCATTGTACTTGAAGTTGATATAAAATTGATCTTATACGGTTAGCATGAAAGTTACGAGCATCAGGGGGCCCTCACCGTGACTATAAGTTGTATGCCGTGCAAGTAACTACGGTAGGTTACGGGAACTTCACGTTTTAAACTACCTTGGTCCTATGTGAACACAGCTTCTGCTAAGTTCTTGAAATATAAAGGTATACATTACGAGCAAATCAATGAAATTGCCTTTTAAATCTGTATAAGTTAAGAAAGCATTTTTTTTCTTCATAATTATACCTACCTGACTCTGTGCCCCATAACTGACGCATGAGTATGCACAGCCATAGCCACACACCAAGAAAGAGAGCATACGCCATAAAGATACCGGCAGTTACAAAAGGAAGCATGATTGCTGAAAATGTAATCAATTCCTTTTGACAAAAGGTAGGAAAATATGGTTCAAAGATGTAGATGATTCTACTGTTCCCGCCATATAATGTCAATATAGTCGCTTGTCCACATCTGTAGCCGAGTATTCCATTGTAAATCCACACAATAATTCAATAATGTTGAATCGTTGCTAACTAAACAAGTCCATTTGTGGCATCGCATAAAGTCAAAATCCCTGTCCATCACACTTGAAATGTTTAAAAATCTCAGACTTGTGGATATTTCAGCACTCAAAAATTATTCACAATTCATTCTCCTTGGCGAAAAGAAATCGTTTGTCAAAGGTTACCAAAAGATCCTCAAAAATTGAGAAGCGTAATCCAGCAATCATATACTCTGAAATTCATTAAAAAATGTTGCTTTCACGCCTTTCTATGTACTTACAAATGAATATAAATTCATCCTCGGTCAGAAATCAAGGATTAAATGTAAATTAAGCCCTCTGGAAACTCACAAGTTTTCTGAAGGATAAAGTAATATCCTGTCTTTGTCCAATTGTCCAAGTAATCGTCAGAAGATCCTAAAATCGGCTGGAATTCCTAATTCCATCTACACCGACAGAGGAGTCACAAGCCATGTGATTAACATATCAAAGCGAAGGACAACTGTATTAAGACGATGATGTCCCTGTAAAGGTATATTTCATATTTTGTTTTTGCTTCTTTAAACTTCAAATGTTGAAAAATGAAGAGCTGTTCAACCCTCTACTTCTAGCTGATATCTCAAATGTAAATGTTGCATTTCTGCAAGCATACTTTTTTCATAATTCAAACTCGCGTTTAGGATTAATACCATTATGTTTCTGGAGTAATAAGTCTATCATTACCCAGACTTTTAATCTATTTCATTAATGAATCCTTTAATTTGATTACCAAATGATCCATGAATAGCAACTGTTATGAGTCATGATCAAAGTTTATTCATTTAGCATCTAGCATGTGCTTAATCTCAAATGAACTTAAAATACCCAAATGTTTCTCATAATATCACAGAGGTAGCTCTAAAATACAATATTTTCTTTCATTTCATTGTCTACTCAATATAGATGAAAGAAAATCTGCATTTCCCAAATTGAATATCCTCAGAAATGTATTCCTCAACAATTTCCCTTGGAACTAAGTTTAGAATTTTGATCACATCTTGTTTCGGTTCCGTACTGCGGAGAGTATGAACGTCATCCAAGGGACTTTGTGGGAGTAAAGTCGTTCACACCGTATCACCTCCAAGATCTTTTCACCGCTTCTGTGTCGTCAAACGTCATATGTGAGACTATCTGGTGTCAGATTGTTCACGATTACCTTCTTCATACAGCACATGA